AGAAGCTCAGCATGCCTTGTAAAGCCAAATTGACCCATGAATGGTCATGAAAGTGCGTGTGCAGGATCTAGATTTGGCACTTGGGATTCAGGTGTTTATGTTTGCGATCATGCGAATCATTGACTCCATTGCTGATCGAACAGGAGCGTGTTGCGAACGTTGGGAAGGGAAATGATGGCCCATAAGATGCATTTGAACAGGGTAAAACTGCTACCTGCTACATGCTACCTGCTAATGCTACTGCTACTTCTACTTCTACTCCACTACTCCTACTACTCCTACTACTACTACTACTCCTACTACTCCTACTACTCCTACTACTCCTACTACTCCTACTACTCCTACTACTCCTACTACTCCTACTACTCCTACTACTCCTACTACTCCTACTACTACTCCTACTACTCCTACTACTCCTACTACTCCTACTACTCCTACTACTCCTACTACTCCTACTACTCCTACTACTCCTACTACTCCTACTACTCCTACTACTCCTACTACTCCTACTACTCCTACTGCTACTCCTACTACTCCTACTACTCTTACTACTCCACTAATCCTACTACTACTCCACTAATCCTACTACCACTCCACTACTCCTACTCCTACTCCTACTACTCCTACTGCTACTCCTGCTCCTACTCCACTAATCTTACTGCTACTCCACTACTCCACTACTCCACTACTCCACGGTCGCGGCATCGCTTGGAACCACGGGATTTGGATCGTTTAGAACCGCGCAATTGTATCGCTTAGAACCACCCTGGAAATCATCATCATCATCATCATCATCCCATCACCATCATCATCATCATCATCATCAGCATCATCATCATCATCATCACCATCATCATCATGATCAACATCATCATCATCATCACCATCAGCATCATCATCATCAACATCATCACCAGGATCATCATCATCATCATGACCATCAGCATCATCATCATCATCATTATCAACATAATCACCATCATCCACATCATCATCATCATGATCAGCATCATCATCATCATCACCATCAGCATCATCACCATCATCATCATCAACATCATCACCATCATCATCATCATCATCATCGCTTTCACGTCTTTCCTTCTTCATCATCTACATCATCATCATCATCAGCATCATCATCATCAGCATCATCAGCATCATTATCATCATCATCATCATCAGCAGCATCATCAGCGTCATCATCATCGTCGTCGTCATCATTCTCATCGCTTTCACGTCTTTTCTTCTTCATCATCTACATCATCATCATCATCAAGATAATCAGCATCATCATCATCATCATCATCATCATCATCACTTTCACGTTTTTTTTTTCTTCTGCATCATTAACATCATCATCATCATCATCATCATCATCATCATCATCATCATCATCACCAGGATCATCATCATCATCAGGATCATCATCATCATCATCATCATCATTGGCTGGTAGATCCTATGCCCCAGTGCGATGGTAAGTCGAAGGAAGCGGTTGTGTCTATAATGAAGTTAAGCAATGTGGCTGGTAGATCCTACCCTTTTCTTCCCTAGCCCCACCCCACCCCCCAAGGTTGAAGTGCGATGGTAAGTCGAAGGAAGCGGTTGTGTCCCTATAATGAAGTTAAGCAACCCTTTTCTTCCCTAGCCCCACCCCACCCCCCAAGGTTGAAGTGTGATGGTAAGCCGAAGGAAGTGGAGTAGTGTCCCTATAATGAAGTTAAGCAAGGGGTGTGGCTGGTAGCCTACCCTTTTCTTCCCTAGCCCCACCCCACCCCCCAAGGTGGAAGTGTGGTTGTAAGTCGAAGGAAGTGGTGTCCTAATTTGGTGGTTCTAAGTGATGCTTTGTGGTTCTAAGTGATCCTGTGGTTCTAAGTGATCCCAATCTTGTGGTTCTAAGTGAGTCCCATGCCCTACTGCATTACTCGTACTGCTACTCCTACTGCCACTCCTCCTGCTACTCCTACTCCTACTGCTACTCCTACTGCTACTCCTACTGCTACTCCTACTGCTGCTCCTACTCCTACTGCTATTTCTACTGCTACTCCTACTGCTACTCCTACTGCTGCTCCTACTGCTACTCCTACTGCTACTCCTACTCCTACTGCTACTGCTACTGCTCCTCCTCCTAGTACTAGTACTAGTACTAGTACGAGTACTAGTACTACTACTACTAGTACTCCTACTGCTCCTACTACTACTACTCCTACTACTCCTACTACTCCTACTACTACTACTCCTACTCCTACTACTCCTACTCCTACTACTCCTACTACTCCTACTACTACTACTCCTACTACTCCTACTACTCCTACTACTCCTACTACTACTCCTACTACTACTCCTACTACTACTCCTACTACTACTCCTACTACTCCTACTACTACTCCTACTACTACTCCTACTACTGCTCCTACTACTGCTCCTACTACTACTCCTACTACTGCTCCTACTACTACTCCTACTACTACTCCTACTACTCCTACTACTCCTACTACTCCTACTACTACTACTCCTACTACTCCTACTACTCCTACTACTCCTACTACTCCTACTACTCCTACTACTCCTACTACTCCTACTACTCCTACTACTCCTACTACTACTACTCCTACTACTCCTACTACTCCTACTACTCTTACTACTCCTACTACTCCTACTACTCTCACTACTCCTACTACTCCTACTCCTACTACTCCTACTACTCCTACTACTCCTACGACTCCTACTACTCCTACTCCTACTACTCCTACTACTCCTACTACTCCTACTACTCCTACTACTCCTACTACTACTACCTAGTACTACCTAGTACTACCTAGTACTACCTAGTACTACCTAGTACTACCTAGTACCTAGTACTACCTAGTACTACCTAGTACTACCTAGTACTACCTAGTACTACCTACTACGTACTGCTACTGCTATTGCTACTGCTACTGCTACCACTACCACTACCAGTAATACTACGATCCCTCCTACCTACTACCACTCCTACCTACTACTGCTGCTGCTGCCTGCTACCTATACTGCTGCCTACTACCTACTACGCCTACTCCTCAACCTACTCCTACCACCACCGCCCAATACATCGGGAATTATCATCGTTCTATAAATGGAAATCCCTACGATCCAAACATTTCTTTGACAGCCAGGCAGCCCCGCTGTGCGCTCAACCGCGATTTTCTGCGAACTTTTCATCGGCTTGACGTGGCAACGTGTGTTCTATACAGCAATCATGTTTCTTGGCACTTCCCACTGCCTGGCATGGCATCCGTTGAGTGTAATTGGTGTTATTTTGTGATCCATGTCTCATTTGACCATGAACTTGACCCAAGTTGATGATTTCCAGCATTCATGAGCTGGGAGGTTGTCTGGAAAGCAGTACAAGCAAGCAGAGCGTATCATCGATGTAGTTTGTATGTGGTGTTTGGCTGCCAAGTCCTCAGGTTTTGCAGAAGTCTTCTGTTAGTTGCAGCAAGTCCATGCAAGTCCTTCGTGAGGCAATCGCGAGCCCTGCTTGGGCTTACTACATTCTGCCATTCTTCCTACAAGCGAAGAAGGAGGACCGGATTCAAGTGACTCAACTCCGGGTGATTCTGAACTATTTCAGGAAAGATATGGAAAGATCATCGCTGGTCTTTCATGGTCTTTCCAGAATTTCCCAGGAGGAAGAGCAGGAGGGGAAGCAAGGCAAAGAGGGAGCTGAAGCATCTGCAGAGGCTACGAAGGCGGCGAAAAGAAATGCTCAGACCTTGAGATGCAGATGGTGCCTGGCTGCCAGGGCGCAAGACATTTTCCAAAGTCATGCTGTTGAGCTGTCATGTATAGAAGGTGGACTGGGGTAGACACATATCTACCATATGTATCATACATATATTAATTTCATACAATATCATACAATCATGTTAAGAATCAACACCCTGTCTCAACACAGTTGTGCCAGTGTCCATCCGTCCAACATCTTGGATCAACGTAAAGGCCTTGAGCCTATCTTGTGCCAACAGACAAAACAGTGCGTGCACAGCAACAGCTGACTTGCAACAGAGTGATCAACAGGCTGCCTTGTAATTTTACATGGTAGCGGCGCAGTGATCCTGGAAGCACCCAGGTGAGCTCCAACAACAACAACTGGAGCAACACAGGGTAGCAGCCCAATAAGCAAACATCCTAACAACAAGGCGCACAGGCAGAGGGCTTGATCCCAGCTATACAGCGTGGGGGACTCTCGGCAACAAGGATGGCAACGGCACATGATATAGGATCGCCAGCAGCAGAAGCATCAGAAGTAGATGCCCTAGCATCAACACACAGGCTGAGGTTAAATCCTCCAACATACGATGGAAGCTATGCAACATTTGAGGAATGGAAGTACAAGTTCTCAGCATACATGGGCCTACAGGACAACATCTTTCCGCAACTGCTATCAAGAGCAGAAAGAGCAACAACAGTGCTCAAAGACACAGAGCTGCTTGCTGCAGCAAAAACACCTGAAGAAGGAGAGAAGTGGACACAACTATGCAACAACCTCAAATACATCCTCATCAACATCACCAGCGGCGCAGCAGCAACAGTTTGCAGACAACACCAAGACGCCATGGGCCTAGAAGTCTACAGACAACTTTGCAACAGGTTTGCAATACCTGTTCGAACAAGAAGCATAGGCTACCTCACACGACTCCTCAAACCAAAATTCGACAACAACAACTTCGAAGAGTCCTTCTCAACATGGGAATTTGAGCTGGCACGCTATGAGCGTGACAACAATGCACAACTTCCAGACCAAGTGAAGATAGCTGTTCTCATGAATGAGACAACAGGACCACTTCAACAACATTTACGTCTCAACGCAAGCGCAGCACCCACATATGCAGAAGTGAGGACAACAATCATGGAGTATTACAGGACCACAACAGCGTTCTCAAGACTCCAACAGCACTCGTCCTCAGCAGTCAGCAAAAACCTTGGAGGAGGCCCAGCTCCAATGGACATTGGGGCAACATACAAAGGCAAAGGAAAAGGAAAAGGAAAGAACAAAGCAAAAGGATATGGCAAGGGCAACAAAGGAAAAGGATACCAACAAGGAAAAAACTATGGAGGCTACGGCTCATACAACAAAGGAAAGGCCAAGGGAAAACAGCAGCCATGGTACCAACCAAAAGGAGGAGACAAAGGCAACAAAGGAAAGGCAAAAGGAATGCCTAACAAAGGAAAAGGAAAGAACCCAACAGCAGTGTGCTACAGATGTGGCCAACCAGGCCACATGGCAAAGGATGGCCGAACAGCGGTGTACAACATGTCAGAGACACCGCAGGAACAAAACCAAGATGGAACAGCACAATGGTATGACCCAAACAGTGGGTACGACAACTATTGGTACAGCAACGACCAATCAGGCAACTACAACACTCATCCAGTTCAGCAACGGAAGCAACAGCAACTATGCGAGCAGTTCAACAACAAAGAGGAGACACAGAGGCAGAGATCATGATCGACAGCGGTGCAGCAGCACACGTTTGTCCAACATGGTTTGCACCAGGCACACCACTGTATCAACTACAACATGGACAAGGTCCAAAACTGACGACAGCAACAGATGAGGACATCCCAGTGCATGGCTACAAATGGGTGTTCATGCACAACACCCACAAGCAAACACTGGTTGTTCCCTTCGACGTGTGTGATGTGACACAACCCATCATGTCAGTAACAAGACTGGCAGAACAAGGGTTCAACACACAGCTCAGCGAGACACCAGCAATCACACACAGCAAGGGATTCCACTCAACACTGAAGCAACGTGAAGGCCTCTACTTTCTACCAGTTACACTGGTAGCACTGCCTGTCAACATGAGGCTTGAGGCCAACCAAACAGCAGAAGGAACAACAGCAAGAGTGGCACCAGTCACACTCACACCGACAGGCATGGAGATTAATCGAAACAAGAACGATCTGTGGACATTCAACATCCAGGGCTTTCTGGCCACAGAACACAACGCAAAGCACTTTTCATGCCAGATAGCAACTGTCCAGTTCCAACAGAGAGGTTGGAGAAATACAGAAGCACAGTCATACAACGACCAAACAACAACACAGAGGTCATTGAAGAAGCATACCAAGACCTCGACAAGAAGCAACAGAAAAGGGTCATCCAAGGACCCAACTGGAGCGGAGAAACATGGTTCAGAGTGAAAAGGGGAACACCCCTTCCAGGCAACATACCACCATCACCAGCACTTCCACCAGCCAAAGCGACAACACCAACAACATCTCAACAGAATACAGCCGATGAACCACAAGCACCAATGTATCGACACACAGTGAAGAAGCCTCTCACTGAGGTGAGTTTTCAGCTTCAGATCCTGTCATGACTTGGCTTCAGCTTCAAGGCGTTCATCAGTTTGTCTTCATTGGGAGATGGGAGGTGCCCAGCCAACTCCTGCGTCACAATCTTAGTGGCATCTTGCAGTAGTGGCTTAGTGCCGAGGTGGCTGCCAAAATTCTCCCGTTTGCTTCGTGGCAGCTCAGGACGTTTGAGAATGAGCCTGCTGTCAGTGTTGCAAGTGCAACTTGGTGCTCGCAATGCTCGAGCTCCACTGACGAGCCCAGCACTCAGTGCGCAAGCTTAGCTTCGCGGTGATGCCGCACTTTAGCTTGACTCAGGTCCCTGGAGAATGGACCGATTGCATCCAAAGCAGATGCTGCCTGGGGGCGTCAAGGTTGACTTTGGAGAATCGCTGGTCACTAGTTCCCTGTGATGCGCAGCTCAGCGTGGTCCGCAGGGTCAAAGTACCCTAGCTGGCCTTGCGGCGGCCAACAGAAGACAATAGGGCGCATTCAGTGCAGTGGCCAAGAAAGGTACGCTCCAAGCGTACGTTAAGTTGAAACAAGGGAGCCACCATTCCCTGAAGAGCATTGCAATTTTCAGGAACTGGTTGAATCCAACCATGGCCCCCGCTGCAGTAATCGGTAAGCCCGGTAGGCAGCATTGCTTGGCACCTGACAGCATAGACTGAACGCTCTCGGAACAAAGAGAGGAGCCACTGGGTTCTCAGGGTTTCTCCATGCCTCACTGACACAGCGCTGGACTCTTGTCATGGGTGTCATTGCCCACAGTGGCACTTTGAATCACCCAATATGAAACTCTGGTTTGCTATAAGCCGCCATTCACCCCTTTCAGCCACCAAGAATTCCAACTGCAAAGCAGTAATCCCCAAATAATAAGCCCGGCTACCTGTTCTTTTATTAAGGGGGTTTTGTAATTAGGGTTCAGAACGCGAAAATTTTAAGATTTATTTTGTTTCAAAATGAAGTAAATTCCTTCTTAAACTTTGTATAAAATATTGCAAAAAATGGATTTCGAAGCTTTCCCCTAATAATCAAGTCCAAAACCTTATATAATAATAAAAACTGACTTTCCCTAGTTCAATTTTTTAAGGTTTGTAAATAATATTGCAAAAATTTGGATTTCGATGTTTTCCCCTAATATATAATCAAGTCCAAAACCTTTATATTAAAAACTATTTTTCCTAATTCAAAATGAACAGACAGGCAGGGAAGAGGGAAGTAGTCACAGAATGATGCAGGACCCTAATAATAAATCACGACGATGGATCTGTTTTCATTAATAAGGGTCAAGAACCACTTTGGGATGATGACGTTTTACTATTGGTGTTCAATAGCCACTATTACAAATCCAACTTCCAGAAGCCTCCAGTTCCAGACCTGTTTTTATTATTTAGGGGGGTTTCAGTAATAGCAGTATATAAGGGATTAGAAAGGTCACCGCTTTTGCCTGGATGGAGAAAATTGTTCCACGCATGTGCGCCAACATATAAGCAGACATGCGCCGCACACGCGCACGGGCATGTTACACGCGTGACATCGTGTGACATGTAAATGCATCTACAGCACGCAATGCATGAATGTAATCCTCCCCCTATTGCCAACGATGGGTGAGACTGACACCCAAAGCAACAGTCTGGAGTGAAACTGCAACATCCCTGGGTTCAACACCCGAAACCAACAGAAATGAGCGCAACAGGGAAGCCAACAACTGAGAGTGCCGACAGATAGTGTGTATACTAACACCGTTAGACAACATTCTTCTGTCAACGCCTTGGTAGTGTAAAGTGTACAGGTTGGAGTGCCCAACATATAAACAACATAATGTCGTTCCATTTCAACATGTTAGTGGTAAGATTTCAACAGAGTGATGTTTGAGCAACATCAATCTGAGGGGCGGTGTTAAGAATCAACACCCTGTCCCAACACAGTTGTGCCAGTGTCCATCCGTCCAACATCTTGGATCAACGTAAAGGCCTTGAGCCTATCTTGTGCCAACAGACAAAACAGTGCGTGCACAGCAACAGCTGACTTGCAACAGAGTGATCAACAGACTGCCTTGTAATTCTACAAATCATATATAAATATATATATATACACCAAGAAAATGATTCAGCACACCTCATGGAGAGAGCAACGTAGTTGCCCCATTTTCTCAGTTTCCGTGTCAGGATGATCCAGGCATCTCCAGCAAGCGTCCACAAAAGGCCTGGAGCTTTGAAACATTGGAGCGGTGCAAGACACTCTATGGGGTTATAGCCTCGAATATATTGATTATTCTTATTGATTATCATATATATGATCATCTTCCATGAAATGGGAATCAGGTTCTTAACCAGGCAGAATTTTGTGGAAAGACGTTGCGGGTTTGGCACACTGCTGTTGATGGGCTGAGTCGACTCCACCTCCAGCCGAGAAGCCCAAAGATGACGATGAAGAGTTCTGAGCTGCACATGACAAGCTTCAACATCTTTGAGTGTACTGCAGTCAGACTGTGCCTGCAACTGTCCTGAGTTATTGTCTTTGCAGGGTGGCAAAGATCTATAACTTGTAGTCAATGTGACTGAGTGGCCGCAGAGAGTCATGCCATAAAAAAGTATGATTCGTGCTTCGAATTTCGTAATATGTCGACCAGCAAGTTCTCCAGCTGTTAGTCCTTTGTCACAGTGATCCTCTTGCACACTGAGTCGCGCAATACATGAGTTGGAAAGTAGGGGCATCAAATTTGATGATTGATCATCATTTCCCAATCAAATACACTTAAATACCATCAACATACAATTAAAATACCATGACATGGTCTAAAAACGGGTAATTTCTCCATTTTTACAGAGAAAACTGCACCTGGCATGTGCCTGACATGTGCCCTGGCTCCAGCACCATCAGTGCCACGAGTGCCATCGAAACGTGCCACGATCGAAACGTGCCACGGTTTCCTCCATGGGGACAGTTTGTGCCCATCTCAAATTTCGATTTCTGTAGATTTGTGATGCCGAAATCCAGTGACTAAGCACTGACTAAGCATCATTTCCAGTATCTTCCCATGAAGGAAATTACATTTTTCATTCGGTCCTCGGCTTTATCTCGTCACCCTGAGGCTGTGTGGAAGATTCTGGTACCGACTCCGTCGGGAGAAGCTGTGGTTGTGTTGTCGCATGACGTTTTGCCTTCGCAACGATACAATCTGTACATCAATATAAATATATCCATACAACTATGTATATATATATACATACGTGTACCGTATATTTGAATAAACAAACCAGTACATAGATAAAATGATAGAACTGCACTTTCAACATCTTTCAAAAACAACCCGCTTTGGCTTCAATAGGACCTCCAAAATTGACATGGATGAGAGGGAGGCCGCTTCACCTGTGAATGGATCGCCATGGCCTTGAGAGCACTGAATTTCAGGGAAGATGCTTCAGTATGCTTCAGTGTCAACTGAGGAGTGATATGTTGCAGCAGTTGAAGGGTCATTGGATGCGCAAGGACCGGCTGGCCTTGAATTGGACATGGGGCCATGGGGCCATGGGATGTTTCTTTTTTTTGGTCATGGCGGATTAGTTTCTCAGGAAGACAAGATGTCGCTGGGAGCAATTGCTGGCAACAGCATGGTGTGGGAGGCCGCCTACAAGCACAAACCCAGTCCTCTCTGGGAGGTTTCTCGAGTCATTTGGGGATCAACCCTTTCAATTTCCTCAGCTTTTGGGCTCGATTCCTGCAGGCTTATCGTCATCAAAATAAACAGGTCATTGTCAGTGTCATCCTGTCCTCATTCCTCTCCTTGTTTTTACTTTTCCTGGTAAAACGATACCATCTCATGCTTGGTGTGCCAGACTTTACCGTACTTTGAGTTGGTGTGCCATACTGTACCGTACTTTGAGATGTACAATGTACAGCATAATTTCACCCCAAATAGCCGCATGTGATGTGCAGGGTTGGAGGGGTTGTTATTGTTGACATTGTTGACAACGTATCATCACCATCACCATCACCATCACCTTGACTACCACCACCTTGAATACCGCCATGACCATCATCACAACTGGCATCACAATCGGAAGTCCAGCGTCATCATTAGGATCGGAGCCACCATTATCATCGCCACAGCCATGTGTTTTTTTGTAGCTCCAACATCACTGATGATCTCTATACCTGGAGCTGATGCACCAAGGTTAGTGGCAACAAGATCAAGATGAGCCTGGGTGGAGAGGAGCACACAGGAACAGTCCTGCCGAAAACTGAGCTTAACCCGGGAACCGGGTAACCGGCTTAACTCTTCACCTTTTGACATGCACAGTGCCTCAGTGAACTTGTTTGCTGTCTTTGATGTTTTTCTTCTCACCGTTTTTTGATTTCATCCTGGTGTGATCTGAAATGATTTGAGGTTGAAACAGTCAGAGATTACTTGGGAAGATGGCGAGGCCAAGCATTGACGGGGTGGACGCAGTGCTGCTCTTGACAGTCAGCAGATGATGTGTCAGGTCTGGGTGAGGAAATGAAGGTCTTCATAGTCTTCATCTTGGCCTGAAGCTTGACCAAGGAACTGGATAGCACACGTTTTCCAACTTATTTTGAAGCCCTTTTGGATCAGTTTTCACGGAGCGGAGGCCAGAACGGCGGTTTGTTCCTAGTGCGACACTCTCCATGGATGAGATAGGTTTGTTGCTGCTTCTTCCACTCCGTTTCCTCCTCAAAATATGCAGTTTATGGCACATTTCAACCAAAAGGATTAATGTAGCCCGTGAATTCTGTGAACGAGTGTCTATCAATGTGTATCAATCTGTCGATTTTCGCTTGTCATTGCCTCGTTTCACACCTCAGGGGCTCCGTGGCCAAAGCAGACCCGGAGCAGATGTGGAATACAACTCAAATAACATTTGTCAAAAGCTTGCGACCAGGATGAGAAATCAAACATGTGTTGCAATCGTGGCGTTGGACTCTCCATGACTCCGTGAAAGTGCATTTTCTGGTTCGGAGCATTGAAAATTCGGCTTTAAGCAATACAGTATGTAGAGATTGGAGAAGGAAGCAGTACTTTCTTGGCACAGACAAAGTAAATGAAATTTTTGAAGATGCAGTGCGTTTGTCGCGAAGAACTTTCTACTTCCCCGAAGAGTCATAACAAGCAGCAATCCTCGTGACAAAAGCGGCTTCTTGATTTTCAGCAGAATCCTTTTTTGTCACGTTGCTTGGCAAATGTGGAGACACTTGCAGCCACTAAGCGACACCAGAGATGTCCGGTTTGGAAGTGTTCTTGGATGGAGGAGCAACGTTTGCCTCACTTCTCTCTGCTGGGGCTGCAGTGGTTGGTTACCGACAGCAGAAAGAGGATGATTTGGAGCTGGTGGAAGATGTGGAGGAAGTGGAGCAGCTACGGAAAAATCTCAGTGAAGCTGCGACATCGGCATGTGCAGCTCACGCTGCCCTAACAGCTGCCTGGGGTCAACCACTGAGCCTTTTCCGAGGCCCTGTTGGGATGCCCCAAGTGCAAGTGGCGTGGGCAGTGGAGGTGCTGGAAGTGGCCAAAGAGTTGGTGGAATCGGCTGCCGAATTGGAAGATTTGGCCGATGTCTACGATGCCCAATTGCAGTTGGCCAAATCCCACGGTCGCAGCTTACTTCGAAGTCCACTTCTGCGCCTGGAAGAAAGACTGGATGAGCTGAGCCTGGTGTTGACCTCGCAGATCCCTGCAGTGGTTTTGGCCAAGGAGGCCTTCACTTTGGGAGACACGTTTGCAGTGAAGCCGGTCCATGCTATGGCTGCGATGAAAGCTGCCACATCCTTTAGCCAGGCAGGTGGGCTGTTTTGTTAGAGGCAGCTTTCCAGTCACGCCGCTCTGGATTGTACACGGGAAACTCTTGTCTCTATGCTTGACCTTGATACTCTCTGACATGTCTTACGCATGTGGACTAGAGATGTACACTTCTCCAAGCCGGGACCTTGGGAGAAGGTTTACTGCTCGCTGTTGTGGCTCAACACTGGTAGTGCTGCAATTTTCGGGGCATTGAGTTTTCCGTTTCTAGTCAGCTGTGCAATTGCACAGATGCAGTAATGGGCTGCTGACTAGAGAAGCTGACGGAGTGACATCTCAGTTGCATCGCAATTCTTTGCAGATATTGGCAGTGCAGCTCAAGGTAGCTTAATGCCCCTCACTGCAGCCTTTACCATACTTTCATATACTGTCAGCTTTGCTATCCCTTACTACCTTTTTCTAGTTTGCAACTGATGTATTGTCACTCCGTGTCCTCAATGCCGGCGTGTCGGCACGAATCTGTGTCCACGTCCAGCGGTAGCTGTAGCTTCCCCATCCCGTGGCTGTCTCCATGGTCCCCATGGGGAGCTCCACTTGTCAGTGCCTTCACTGCTGCTGTCGTATTTGTTGCACGCCGCTCCAACCGCTCGAGTTCACCACGAAGTTCCGGCCGAAAGGGTCAAAAGAAACATGTTGCGAGGAGGTGTGCTCCTCCACGCTCAAAAGAAGTACAATTTACTGAGGCAACTTTGTGTATCTTGACAACATTTGATGCTTGCAGCAGTGTTTTTGCGCAAAAAAGAGAAACCAATGTCCAATGTATTTTTATTTTAGACTAGTAAACCAGCTGAGCTGCTTGCTTGACGGGACCCCAGATATGAGGTCAGGTGACTTGCAAATCTTGCAATGGAAGCCCCTCGGCAGCACCACTGACAGATCTGACATCAAGTCTGTCACTGGTTCATCTCTCTGGTCAGTTGCTGGGAGAATGGGTTGCTGGGAGTTGGTTTCATCAACTTCATCTTTGACCGGCGTGTGAGGATCATGTGGTGAGCCACTTGCTGATCAGCAGGAGATGTTTCTTGAAAAAACGCATGGAAAGTTCATACCCTTGCTGAATGGTTTGATAGAGGGGTCAGCTTTATGTAGATGACATTGGAATTTTATTGAGACTTCAATCCCCCTGACATGTTATTTATCCACGATGGTTGTGCGTTGTGCCAGAGGAGAAGAATCAACAAGAGGATGATGTTTGGCAGCCTCAGGGTGGCCTTCAACCTTTTGCAGATCTTGCCCCTGTGCTTTTTTATCAGTGATGAATCCAGGTCACAGTTCGGAGAAAAGTTTCCAGTTTCAAGATGTTTAAAGGGCTGCAGCTGCTCATCTCCAGCCAGTCCTTTTAAGTGATCCAGCCAGAGCTCAAAGCTGCGAACTATAGGTGGAGCAGCTTTTACCTCCTTGGATCATATCCAACATGGAGATCATGACAAAGCATACCAGCAATGCTGTTGGCTTACCAGCGCCTCCAGGATGCATGGAAGGTCTGGTTTCCTTGGCCGAATCTGCATTCCTTTGCTCCAGACCCTTCAGTGATAAGGTTCATCGAACATTCGATGGTGGTGGCCAGCTGGGACATTTCAGGAGGGATGTCCTGAGATGTGATACCTGCAAGAAGACGCGCGCAATGATAGACCTATATATCCCAAATTCAGAGGTTCAGGTTTTTAGGCCAGACAATTTCATGACAAATTAGACAATTAGATAATTCGATGGTTTTTGCATAGTGTGCATCTCCTTGATGGTTTCTAAATTGGCCCACCTTGCAGGCCTAGTCGCATGTTGGCTGGGAATTGCCGTGTAAAGGATATTTTGTTTCAGGAGAAACCTTGGTGCCATTGAACCCCAAGTTCCCAAGCCATATCCTGCACAGAACAGCGGTCCTTCGGTGCTCGCCTGCTACGAAAAACAGTTGCACCCTCAGAGATTCTGCTTAGTCATCCTGGTGTGCCTATATATATATATTATATTATATATATATATTATATATTATATATAAAATATATAATATATATATATATATATATATGTATATATATATCCCATATAACCATGATGAAAACATGATGACGGACGACACATGAACGCTGCCCGAACTTTACTGAGGTTCCAGAGCCAGTGGCCCAGCTGTTTGGCGCCATCTTGAATGCGCTAAAGATCTGGCCAGATCTTCATAGCAGGGCTATCAGGTACGGATCATCCATTTGGAAATGGAACACATAGTGTCATATCCATTTTGGGATGGCCGGAAAATCATGGGTGACATTTGTTTCTTGGAGTTTTATGTCAAAATCATGTTGAAATCATGATGCGGAATCGTGGTCAGGTTTGGCTCTTCCACAATAGGGGCTGCAACTTCTCATTGGCTTGTTGGCGAGACCCGTGTCTTGTCCCCGGAGGAGGATGCCGTTGTCACTTGTGTTGTGCTGTACCGTTGTATCCGAATGATTTCTAGCTGCTGTTGATCCTTTAGAAAAAAAACATATTTTGAGTCTTGAGAGTGCCAACGACAATGTCTCTGCAAGATTTTATTTGCATTAGGTCATGAACATGAAGTGTTTTTTTGATGTGTAGGTCATATATCCAGTGGTGGCATTTCTATCCGCGTCCAGGAGCAGGCCTTGGTGCAGAAGCTCCGGCATGAAGGTTTAGATGTGGCACCTGATGGCGTGATGCTCCTTCGAAAGCGGGGCGGCAACGAGATGGGGATGGGTTCATGGTATCCTATGGACCTATGGTACTGTTGGCCAGGAGGAACATCCAGCCATACTATTTAAATGTGAACAGAGGTGGGTCTTGACCCATCCCTATGGCTCTGGCTCGCACAAGAACTGGCCCAGTTCTTGGATGGTCTGGAACTAGATAAAGATTGTAATTACACAAGAACTGTGTGGGTTTGAAGCAATGCCCCGATTTCTTGGCCAGTATATATATATATATATGATATACACATTTGGCAATTGCAGAGATTTAAGTGCTGGATATGGCAAACAGTGCCGTCCTTTGTGGCAGGTGTAAATTCATCGAAGAATCTGGCGGTTGCAAAGATTTGTGTCTCAACGTGTGCAAAGCTGGCACTGAAGAATACATGAAGGAAGACCTGCAGTTTCCAGTTCGCCTCTTGGCGAAGACCCGACATCCCGACATTTTGAAGTTCCATGAGTTCCATGTCTAGACTTCTCAGTCTTCTCAGCGAGTTGAATGGCCATTTTGGGTTTTCGTTCATTTCAAATTTGAAGGTCGAAAAGTCCAAAACCAGGCCTGTTTGTTTCCGAAAAGAACCGCCCCAGGAATGATTCCCAACTTGAAGGACCACAGTTGTGCCATCTTGTTGATGGAGCAGCCGGTACCACCTGACGCTTGGCCAATTTTTTTTGGATTTTTTATTGGAAAAATGGCGATAAACCATAGAATCTATGAGAATTTTGGGGACCCTATTTTCAGACTTAAATTCACTGGAGCTTCAATGTTGCTGTCTTCCATCAACCTGGTGAACCTGAGGACAAAGATCCTTTGTTCAAGCAGCCATGTGGTGCTGCACACTGTGACAAGAAATTCACTATGCCTCGTATGCCTCATATGCGTCATATGCCTCGCACTCGCAGCGGCTCTAAAAGTGAAGCGGAGCAAAGACAAAAAGAAAGCCACAACTACTCTTGTCGTTTTCTTGTCTAGAAAGCAATGGATGGAGTGTCATGGTGATTCCAGTGGTTCCCTTCCCTTTCCTTTCCTTTCTGCTTTTCCATTTCAGTATGTTTCAGGGCAGCCTGAAGTCGATGGAGGAGTTGCCTTTGGCCATCCTCCAAGACCGTCAGCTTCTGGGAGAGCTGTGGAGAGTCGGACCAGGGCGGATGGAGGTCCTGGCTCGGGCCATTGCTCGCAGGCAGATTGGTGGCCAAAAATGGCCACTGAAAAATGGCGAAAATGATGGATTGATGGATCAGCTTAATGGAAGGGAGAGGGTTGCGGGTTGGCCTATTTTTTTTAAAAGCCAATGTGTTTATATAATGTGTTTCATGTTTCATGTTTGGAATCTGAGATTGATCAGTTTTTGGTGCCATAGCTTTTCTTCAACAAATCATTACCAAATTTTCCTCATGACAAAAGAACTTGTGACCTTTGTGGGACCAGACTGTGCTTTGATGCCATTGGTCAGGGCACCCGCATCACCTGCCAAGGCTGGGTTCCCATATGTACTGTAGCAACTTGTTGTATTTGAGAGCCGAGAACTAAAAAACAATGCAGCACATGAGTTTAGGCTTGCAACCTGCACCTGTGCCAGGAAGTTCCAGAGTACTCGCCCTATGTTGCTGATTACCTGTGAAGTTCTTCTTGAGATTCCAAGTGCAGCCATTTGTGCTGTTTGTACATAAGCGGAAGAAACACATTTGGGAACGCCAAAAGAAATATGCCGCTGTGGAGAAAGGCCTTGGCCAATGTTGATTTGACATACATTTTCAATGCAGAGACACCAGCTTCTATACTTGATCTACAAAGCTTCGTTTGAAGGTCCTGCGGATCAAAATGAGAAAGCTGCAAGGTGGAGTGTGTTTGACAGTGTGCACTTTACAACCCCCATGCTGATAGGAGCTAAGCAAATATAAAACTAGTGTAGAACACGATCTTAACCGAGGATTGCCAGTATCATGAAGGTGAATTCCCCAGAGTTCGTGATTTCTCAGACTGCAACAATCACCGACCTCTCACTGCAAGCCATGGAAGAAGAACAGACAGACAGGAGCAATGTGACGTGCCTTGGCACAGGATACAAAATCAGTTGCACTGAAAGGCTGAGCATGTTGTACTCCTCTGCAGTGCAGGTTTCAATTCACTGGAGAAGATCACACCTTGGGCAATTCCCTTCGCTACATGCTGATGAAAGACCCGAATGTGGAATTTGCCGGCTATACTGTGCAGACCCCAGACCCAGAGGATTGGAGAGGACCCCAGACCCCAGAGGACCCCAGAGGACCCCAGAGTACCCCGAGAGTACCCCGATGGCCTCCACAGCTGGCAGGTGCCTCATCCCTCTGAGCCCAAAATGAACGTTCGGGTGCAGACGCACGGAACTTCGGCAGATGTTCCTTGGAGCAATTGAATCAGCAGAGATATCCAGTGCCATCCGTGAGAATTCGCAACATGCATAGCACGCACTTGAAATTTGAATCGTGGATATCATGATCTAGAGTCTAGATCTGCCAGCATCTAAGGTAGCAGTTGAGCGTGCTCTCAAAAATATATCATCTGTGTGTGATCATGTCAGGTGCTCAGAGGTAGGTGACTGTCAGACTTGCAAGCCACCTACGCCATGTTGATTTGAATCAAACTGATGTGAGACGGTTTCAGCCAGTTAAAACCACCAGACAAAATCTGACCCAGCTTGGAGGATTGTTATTTCATTTAACCTTTGAACACATTGTTTTGAATCTGCGACTGCTTAATTAATTCATTGTGTGTTGCGGCTATGCTTTGAACTTTGACTACTAAGGTCTTGTTGACATACAAGAAAGCCAGGGATGAATTCCAATCTGGAAAGACTTCCACGACAGAGAAATAGATCAAAACTATGTGAATAGGCAAATTATATCAAATTATCAAGTCCACGATATAATCAAACTCGTCATTGAGCAGCAAGAATGTGTAAATATGAATATGAAGTAGTTTGTATTCATTACATTGAGCGATAAGCCTAAAATTCTATGTCAAAAAAGTTGATAGGACAGATGCCAGTGCACACAGAAATTCTCGGGCCTTGCCGGCCTTGCCTTGATTTCCAGGAATGCAGAATGATGCAGATCGCGGTCGCAGGAATTTTGATTATTAGTGCTACATATTTTCCCCCTCCCGAACAGAACAGCTTTGGGGAGCAGCTTTGGGGAATAGCTTTGGACAGCTTTTCGGACCAGCTTTGAGGCAGCTTCGGGGAGCAGATTTGGAGTTTTGGGACTTGGCTTTTGGATGCTTTTGGTAGTAATTTTGAAGAGCAATTTTGGGGAGCAACTATGGGGAACAACTTTGCGGCTTTATAATAATATTAACAAACAATTACTTTGAAAAACGACAACTTTGGGAAATAATTTTAAAAAATAATTTTGAAAAATTATTTTTTTCGATTTTAAAATAAATTAAATTTCCTGATATAATATAATTAAAATATTGCTATTTTTTTTTTTTAAAGGATCAAAATTAAAAATCCTAATAAATAAATAAAAAAAATCGAACGGAACTTAATAATAAATATTTTGGGGTAAATTATTTTTTTTAAATCAAGGGTTAAAATATGGAAATGGTAATTTTAGTTTAAATTATTTTCTAAAATATATTAATTAAAAATTAAATTGGCTAATTTGAAATTCTCTGAAATTGGAAATGGATATTACTTTTTGGGATTAGTTTTCGGGATATAATTTTTAATAATTATTTTGGAAAGAAAATTGTGATAATTTTGGACATAAAAAATTAAATTATTCCGAGTTAAATTCTGAATAATTTATTTTATTATTTTTTTTTTTAATGGCGGATATTTGGAATTGATATTTATATTAATTTATTAATTTATTTTAATTTGGATTTTATTTATTTTTATTTTTTTATTTTCTCCTTATATTTGAATTATTATTAAGATTTGATTTGAAATAGTTATATATATTAAATTTGATATATGATATTTTAATGTATTTTATTTTTAATATTATTATTATTTTTTTAAATTATATTTTTTGATTATATTTTTATTGATTTGTTTTTTATTTTACTAATTATAATTTTAAATAAAATATCATAATTTTAAAATTAAATAATTTATATATATATATTATATTTTTATTAATTATTATTTTATAATATATAATAATTATAAAAAATATATTTTATAATTATTTGATAATTTTTAATTTAATTATTTTATATTTAATAATAATCGATATTTATATAATTATAAAAATAATATATATATATTTTGAATTTCTTAATATATATTTAAATATAAAAATAATAATATTATATAATATGATATTATTATTTAAATTTATATTTGATAATATCTTTCGAATTTTCAATAATAAATATTATTTTCAAATAATTTTTTTTTAAATATTTATATTAAATTAATTTTATAATTAAATTATTCAATTATATATATATATAATTTCAGGTTATACTTATATGGCGGTTTGGGTTGGTGGTTTGGAAGTCTGGGAAATCAGAGTTATGTGCAAAATAGATTTGAAAAATGTTTTTTTTTTTTTGTGTGGTTTGTATTTGTTTTATTTTTTGTTTAACTAATCTAATCTAATCCTAATCCAATCTAATCCTAATCTAATCTAATCCTAATCTAATCTAATCCTAATCCTAATCTAATCCTAATCTGATCTAATCTAATCCTAATCTAATCTAATCTAATCCTAATCTAATCTAATCTAATCCTAATCCTAATCTAATCTAATCCTAATCTAATCCTAATCTAATCTAATCCTAATCTAATCTAATCCTAATCTAATCTAATCCTAATCTAATCTAATCCTAATCCCTAATCCTAATCCCTAATCCCTAATCCTAATCCCCAATCCTAATCCCCAATCCTAATCCCCAATGCTAATCCCTAATCCTAATCCCTAATCCTAATCCCTAATCCTAATCCCTAATCCTAATCCCTAATCCTAATCCCTAATCCTAATCCCTAATCCTAATCCCTAATCCTAATCCCTAATCCTAATCCCTAATTCTCATCCCTAATCCTAATCCTAATCCGTAATCCTAATCCCTAATCCCTAATCCCTAATCCCTAATCCCTAATCCCCCTAATCCTAATCCCTAATCCTAATCCCTAATCCAAATCCCTAATCCTAATCCCTAAATCCCTAAATCCCTAATCCTAATGCCTAATCCTAATCCCTAATCCTATTCCCTAATCCCTAATCCTAATCCCTAATCCTAATCCCTAATCCCTAATCCTAATCCCTAATTCTAATCCCTAATCCTAATCCCTAATCCTAATCCCTAATCCTAATCCCTAATTCTAATTCCTAATTCTAATCCCTAATTCTAGTCCCTAATTCTAATCCTAATTCTAATCCCTAATTCTAATCCCTAATTTTAGTCCCTAATTCTAATCCCTAATCCTAATCCCTAGTTCTAATCCCCAATTCTAAATCCTAATTCTAAATCCTAATTCTCATCCCTAATCCTAATCCCTAATCCCTAATCCTAATCCCTAATCCCTAATCCCTAATCCTAATCCCTAATCCCTAATCCTAATCCCTAATCCTAATCCCTAATCCTAATCCCTAATCCTAATCCCTAATCCTAATCCCTAATCCCTAATCCTAATCCCTAATCCTAATCCCTAATCCCAATCCCTAATTCTAATCCCTAATTCTAATCCCTAATTCTAATCCCTAATTCTAATCCCTAATTCTAATCCCTAATTCTAATCCCTAACTCTAATCCCTAATTCTAATCCCTAATTCTATTCCCTAATTCTAATCCCTAATCCTAATCCCTAATCCTAATCCCTAATTCTAAATCCTAATGCTAAATCCTAATGCTAAATCCTAATGCTAAATCCTAATGCTAAATCCTAGTTCTAAATCCTAATGCTAAATCCTAATGCTAAATCCTAATTCTAAATCCTAATTCTAAATCCTAATGCTGAATCCTAATGCTGAATCCTAATGCTGAAACCTAATGCTAAATCCTAATTCTAAATCCTAATTCTAAATCCTAATTCTAAATCCTAATTCTAAATCCTAATGCTAAATCCTAATGCTAAATCCTAATGCTAAATCCCAATTCTAAATCCTAATTCTAAATCCTAATGCTAAATCCTAATGCTAAATCCTAATTCTAAATCCTAATTCTAAATCCTAATGCTAAATCCTAATGCTAAATCCTAATGCTAAATCCTAATGCTAAATCCTAATTCTAAATCCTAGTTCTAAATCCTAATTCTAAATCCTAGTTCTAAATCCAAATCCTAAATCCAAATCCTAAATCCTAATTCTAAATCCTAATTCTAAATCCTAATTCTAAATCCTAATTCTAAATCCTAATTCTAAATCCTAATTCCTAATTCTAAATCCTAATTCTAAATCCTAGTTCTAAATCCTAATTCTAAATCCTACTTCTAAATCCTATGGCTAAATCCTAATGCTAAATCCTAATGCTAAATCCTAATTTTAAATCCTAATTCTAAATCCTAATTCTAAATCCTAATTCTAAATCCTAGTTCTAAATCCGAATGCTAAATCCGAATGCTAAATCCTAATGCTAAATCCTAATGCTAAATCCTAATTCTAAATCCTAATTCTAAATCCTAATTCTAAATCCTAAATCTAAATTCTAAATCTAAATCCTAAATCTAAATCCTAAATCTAAATCCTAAATCCTAAATCTAAATCTTAATCTTAATTTAAATCTTAATTTAATCTAATCTAATGAAACCTATTTTTCTAAGTATTTGTTTATCGGTTTAATTGTCTGTCTATCCATTTATTTATTTATCTAATATATTATATCCAATATAGCTATTTGTTTGTTTGTTTATATATCTATCTATCTATCTATCTATTAATCTATCAATCTATCAATCTATCAACCTATCAACCTATCAACCTATCAACCTATCAACCTATCAACCTATCAACCTATCGACCTATCGACCTATCGACCTATCGACCTATCGACCTATCGACCTATCGACCTATCGACTTATCGACCTATCGACCTATCGACCTATCGACCTATCGACCTATCGACCTATTAACCTATTAACCTATTTAACCTATATCTACATAATCTATTTATTTATTTGTTTGTCTATTCGTTTATGAAACTAGTCTAATCTTCTTTAATTTTATCTAATCTAATCTAAACTAATCTAATCTAATTTTTCTAATCTTTTAAGTCTGTCTATAAATTTATTTAATTTATCTAATTCATCACCTATTCTACCTTTTCTATCTGATTTATCTAATATACCTACTCTATTTAAGTAACCTTACCTATCTATTCTATCTAAATAATTTACATGAAAGCAAAGCAGAAAAAAAACAATTTCTCTTGAAACAAATTCCATTGCGGTCCTATTCTATACAATACTCTGACTGATGCAGGTTTCATGGAATTTCCATGGAATTTCCATCTAATTTCCATGCAGATTTCATATTGGTTATATGCTGGGTTTGCCGATTTAACTTATTGGTGTGTAATCTCCATGATAACTCCCTCGAACCTGCATGGAATCTGCATGGAACCTCCATGGAAATTGCAGCAGGCAGAGTGCATGGTTAACGAATAAGTGTAGATAGAGGTATCACCTCCATAATGTACATGGA